GCCGTTTTTTTAACATTATAACCAACCCCATGGAGAACTGAGCAAAACATTCCTTAGACCTGCTAAGAAAATTGAAGATGACTACTGGCATCTTTTCGACAACCTCATTTTATGAAAAATAATAATCTTGCAACATACGAATCTCACGTCTCTCTTTCTTTCTCTGTCTCTCTATCTATCTCTCTGTCTTTCTCATCCCCTCCCTCTATTTCTCTCTCCCTCTCTCTCTTTTTCCTTTCCTCTCCCTCTCTCTCTTCCTCCCTCCCTCTCCCTCTCTTTCTTCCTCCCTCCCTCTCTTTCTCCCTCCCTCTCCCTCTCTCTCTTTCTCCCTCCCTCTCTTTCTCCCTCCCTCTCCCTCTCTCTCCTCCTCCCTCCCCCTCTCTCTCTCTCTCTTTTACTCATATCCCCCCCTCCCACACACACACACACACACACACATACGCGCGCACACACAATCGCACTTCGGTTTGTCGCCCCGTCTTGTTGCTGATTGTGTATCCGGCCTGTGTTCACTTAGGGGAAGAACCCGTCGATTCAAGAGTATCACGGTTGAATTTCTTTTCTTTATTTCCCCCCACCCCCCCCTTTCTCTTTGTTGTGTTGATCAAAGTGAAAGAGGGAATGGGAGAAAAGGTGGGATGCATCGTGGGAGAGAGGAATTGAGAGAGGGAGGGAAAGAGGGGGCGAAGAGAGAGAAGAAGGGAGGGAGGGAGAGAAAGATGGAGGAAAGGAGGAATAGAAGGATGGAGGTAAAGAAGGGGGAGGGAAAACAGACGGGACGCGGGGAAGGGTGGGAGGAATGGAGGGGAGAGGGAAAGAGAAAGAGAGAGAGAAGGGGGGGAGACAAACAGACAGAGAACCCGACAGATAGACAGATAGAGAAAGAGGAAAAAAAGGAAGAGGGAGATCGGAGGCATAAACAAAGCGAAGGAGGAGCCTCAGCGAAGGCACCGTTCCCAGCCAACATTCCGCAATACTTTGTTCTGCTGAATCGTTTGATGTTCACAAGCGTTCAGGTTCGGCCCTCCCCCTATCCGCGCCTCCCTACGGCCCTTTCCCAGGCCATCCTCATCCCCCGCACCCACACCTCCTCCCCATCATCCCACACCCATCCCCCACCTCTTCCCCACCCCCCACTAACAACCCCACCTCCTACTCCCATTGCAACCCACCTACGTCCTACTACAACCCCATCTCCTCCCCCTCCTACCTTCCCCTCCCCTACCCACCCCCACCCCTCCCCCAACCCTAACGCCCTCACATGTCGATGCACTGCTAAGTCTGTTCGCGAACATAATATTTCCACCTGCTTGTTCTATTCATTGCTTAGCTGGTATAAATATAAGTTGTTTATAAGTATATGAATGTGCGTGCGTGTCTGAGTTTGTGTGTACAAAAACAATCCTGTATGTGTGTGTGTGTGTGTGTGTGTGTGTGAGAGAGAGAGAGAGAGAGAGAGAGAGAGAGAGAGAGAGAGAGAGAGAGAGAGAGAGAGAGAGAGAGAGAGAGAGAGAGAGAGAGAGAGGGGGGGGGGGAAGGAGGGAGGAGAGAGAGAGAGAGAGAGAGGGGGGGGGAGGAGGGAGGAGAGAGAGAGAGGGGGGGGGAAGGAGGGAGGAGAGAGAGAGAGGGAGAGAAGGAGAGAGGGAGAGAAGGAGAGAGGGAGAGAAGGAGAGAGAGAGAGAGGACGTGGCCAGGTTCCTGCTGATGGCGTAATCTCACCAAATTCCCTCATCACTTAAACAGCTAAGAGCAACAAAATCGTAAAAGCAGGGACAAAATCGCTCCAAAATGACCACGTGACGAAACCGAGCCCGTAATAACCGCCTCAGTCACTTGCGCACGACACGCCCCGAGCCGCTGTCAAGGACAATTGTCAAGCGTGAGTGTGAAGGTAGCACCACGGCAGCGGTGTCAGGGCGAGGGAGACTGTGTGAGTGAGTGAGTGAGTGAGTGAGTGAGTGCGTGAGTGAGTGCGTGAGTGAGTGAGTACGTGAGTGAGTGAGTGTGTGAGTACGTGAGTGAGTGTGTGAGTGAGTGAGAGAATGAGTGAGTGTGGGAGTGAGTGAGAGGAGGTAGGAGGAGGGGGAGGGAGAAGGGGAGAGAGAGGAGTGAGTGAAGGAGAGGGATTGGAGGAAGGAGTTATTAAGAGAGAAAAAGGGAGAGAAGGGCTGGAAGGTAGTGTAAAGGGGTAGAGAGAGGGGGGAGGAGGGAAGGCGTTTAAGCAGAACCTGAAAGGCAAAGTTTAAAAATCGAAAAATAAAAACCCAAAATGCACCCCCTCTCCCCACCCCCCAAAAAAATTCCAAGACAACAGATTACAAACATTTAATACATACAAAATAATACATAAAACTTACAACAAAAAATAAATAAAACTTACAACAAAAAATAAATAAAACAACAAACAGAACACAAAAAAACTAGCAAGTAACCCCCGTCGTCAAGCAGAAGCGCATACAAACACTCGCACAAACAAAAGGGCGCAGAACCAGACACAGTAACTAGCCTGGCGACCTCGGGGAGTTAATTACCGCATCGCTTCAAACACCTTGTAAACAGCAGCGACAACATCAATAACAAAACAATATAAAAAAAAACACAACCGTATGTTCTTAAACAGCCGCCACAACCCCGCCTCTTTCCATCTGATGCCCAATGTCTATTTTCTTTTCTAATTATATTATCTATTGTATGACATACCAGTACTTATCTACTCGACAACCTGCTACGATTTTCCTTTGCCGTTCCATATTTCATTAGAAAAAAAAAGAAATACGAATCGAAACAACTTTTCCTTTTCAATAAACAAAACATTTTAAAACAAGATTAATCAGGGAACGGCTGGCAATGCTGTCTGTGACGTCAGAACACTGCATATCCACGTACTTCGAAAAGCGGAAGACAGAATGAATTTCCCACGTAGAATGCCAGCCTAATAAGATTAAAAGAAAAAAAACAAGGAGATGCTTTTCCATACAATATCAGCGGTACATCACTACTTAAGTCAATACATATAAAAAATTATGAGTCAAAAACATTATTATAAATGTAACGGTAATGGCATATTAATACTACACAATATGCGGTGGTATAGCTCAGTCCCTCTCAGCCCACTCAGCTGTGCTTGAGTACTGGCATCAACATGCTGGGTTCAAATTCGGGGTGGAAAGGAACTTCCCATATCTTATCCTGTCGCGCCTTGGTACGCGTGTTCCTCTACGGTACTAGTAGCAGTAACAGCAGTAGCAGCAGTTGCATTTCGGGTACTGGTGGTGGTGCTGGTGATAGCATTAGCAATATCAACAGTAGCAGTGGCAATAAAAGTAGTAGTAGTAGTAGTAGTAGTAGTAGTAGTAGTAGTAGTAGCAATAGTAGTAGTAGTAGTAGTAGTAGTAGTAGTAGTAGTAGTAGTAGCAATAGTAGTAGTAGTAGTAGTAGTAGTAGTAGTAGTAGTAGTAGTAGTAGTAGTAGTAGTAGTAGTAGAAGTAGAAGTAGAAGTAGAAGTAGAAGTAGAAGTAGAAGTAGTAGCAATAGTAGTAGTAGTAGTAGTAGTAGTAGTAAGTAGTGGCAATAATGGTGAAGGTACGGGGAAAATAAAGCAAAAATATAATCATAAATAATAAGCAACATCAGAATAAAAATATATATACACCAGTCCTTTATCTAAAACCCAAGCAAATTAATTCCATACAATCATGCAATAAATATTGCATACAAAATCTAACACAAATATGTCACGTGCCCTCTTTGAAAGTACCCGTATAAAACTCCTAATTTCATTTTCCCTTTTTCAACACGAAAATGTTCGAGATTAGACCATGACTTCCCACTGAAAAACCTACAGTGAAAAACTATAATTTCCCTTCGCTCACACTCTCCCGCGCGATTTATTGTGATCATCTTTTTCTTTAATTATCCCTTATTCCTGTCTTCATCACCGTTTTTCCTTCCCTCCTCCTCTTTCTCATCCTTTTCACCTTTCTCCTTCTCCTTCTCATCCTTCTTGTTGTTGTTCTTCTCATTCTTCTTCTTCTTTCCCTCCTCCTCCTCCTCCACCTAATTCCCGCGTGGAAGCCGCCTCGAGCGTCCTCTGAAGCGGATTCCACGTCTAAGCGGCCCAGAAAGAGGTTTAGCTGAAGTCGTCCCGTCGCAGGGCAATAAAATACATCTAATGTGGAAGGTGATGGTGATTAATGACAAATATGATACCATTTTCATCTCCGTTAAAAGGAACAGTATTAATACTACTGATAATATCAACAAAATAAGATGATGAAAATACAAAGGGAAATAAAAGGAATTATGAAAAATATGTCATAAACAGTACAGTCACATATAAAACACGCAATCGTAATAGTAACTACAATAACACTTCCTGAACCGAAGAAACGGTATCAACTCGAAATAAAAAATAGAATAAAATAATATATATACATACATATATATATATATATATATATATATATATATATATATATATATATATATATATATATATATATATATATACATATATATATATATATATACATATATATATATATACATATATATATATATACATATAAATAAACGACTACAATTAATGTCCTTGTCGTTTTCTTCAAGCAAGACTTCAAATAGTGTAAGAATGTTTTTGCTGCAACTGACAAAATTGTGAAATAAATCTACATAGACAAATACGAATCAGAAAACAATGTCGGTCATCCGAGTCGTAGCATCACGCTCAGAAGAAACAGCTGATGACACAAATGCACTTTCTTTCATTCGCCCCTATCTATCGCTACGCCCATAGGTTATAACGTGGTATATGGTAAATTAGAAGAAACTTCACTTTGGATTCGAGAAATGATACCTTATCTCAAGCCCCATTATTGACACAAAAACAATTCTGAAATCTAAACAAGGTTTATGGTAACCTGATCGCAGGAGACTCGAAAGGACTAGTGACTGAGGCCGCGCAAAGGGCGAGCCACAGAAGCCTACGTCAGGACACGTACCTTCGGGCTGGTCCAAGGACTTCTTGAGGGAGTATCTGGGGGCGGCGGTGGGCGGCACCAAAGCCCCCCGGAGCGCCTCGCCCGGAGAGGGGGGGTCCGCCCGCGACTCTCCCCCCGCTAGGCCCACGGGCGTCCCTGCGGTATTGGACTCGTTGGAGGTATTGGAGGAGCGGGACACGTCCGACACGTTGGATTTCTTCCTGGAGGAGGGCCTGGAGGGGGCACGGGCCTTGGTCCTCTTGGCGGGGGCGGGGAGCTTCGTGAAGCTCTCCCGCGAGGACGTGGCCAGGTTCCTGCTGATGGCGCGCTCGTAGCTATCTGACCTGGCCAGGTGGCACACGGGAATGTTGTCTCCCCGGGGCGACGACGACCCGTCCTTGGCGCCCTCTGCGTTCCGCCTGCGCCTGGCGCCCCGGCTGCTTCCGCCTCCTTGCAGGTCGTTGGTGCCGTCCATGGTGGCGCCGTAGGACGTGGGGGGTGCCGCGCCGGCGCCGGCGTCCCCCTCCGGCAGGATCTTCGTCTCGTGCTCGCGTATGGCGCCGAGGGGAACCACCCTGGAGGCGTAGCGAGAGAGTCTACGCAGAAGGCCAGCGTGGTGGTGCCGCGAATGGAGGAATGACACGGCCGCAGGCGGGGACGACTGCGAGCCCGGTGTCATGTGAGGCGGTGCGGCAGGCTCCTCCCTCACCGCAGACCCGCTGATGGCCGCCACGCTGGGCTCACCTTTCATTATAGCCGCCCACGCCCTCACGCTCACAACAAGCAGTTCCTCCTCAGAACACTCACGAGCCACTCATGTCCCCCATACGTGGCCCCTTTACCTACTGACTCCGTGTCCTTTTTCCGTCCGTGTCCTTTTTCCGTCCGTGTCCTTCCCGAGTTCCTTCTTCGCCGAATCTCTTCTCCACCAAGAGACCCTAAAGCAGGTCACTTCAGCCCGAGGAAATCTCAGGCTCGTGCAGGTCCACCTCGAAGAAACGCCGATCACATTTCCAGGGCTTAATCACGTGGACGCTCTACGCACAGGGGCGGAGTGGCTGCGAGCCTCCCTTCCCCCTCTGGCTTCACACTCCCTCCCGGGACCTGCTCCTACCCTCCCCCTCCCCCTTCC